CCATGATGGCATGGACATGGATGACCAGTTTGGTGAAGACCCTTTTCTGTCCCCCCATGACTGTCCCCCGTGTACAAGCCAGCTCCATAAAGACATGGATGACCAGTTTGGTGAAGACCCTTTTCTGTCCCCCCATGTGTCCCTAGTGTACCCCCTCCATAAAGACATGACTGTCCCTTGGTGAAGACCCTACAAAGCCAGCTCCATAAAAGACATGGATGACCAGTTTGGTGAAGACCTTTTTCTGTTCCCCCCATGACTGTCCCGTGTACAAAGCCAGCTCCATAAAGACATGGATGACCAGTTTGGTGAAGACCCTTTTCTGTCCCCCCCATGGACTGTCCCCCCGTGTACAAAGCCAGCTCCATAAAGACATGGATGACCAGCTTGGTGAAGACCCTTTTCTGTTCCCCCATGACTGTCCCCCATGTACAAAGCCAGCTCCATAAAGACATGGATGACCAGTTTGGTGAAGACCCTTTTCTGTCCCCCCATGACTGTCCCGTGTACAAAGCCAGCTCCATAAAGACATGGATGACCAGTTTGGTGAAGACCCTTTTCTGTCCCCCATGACTGTCCCCTGTGTACAAAGCCAGCTCCATAAAGACATGGATGACCAGTTTGGTGAAGACCCTTTTCTGTCCCCCCATGACTGTCCCCTGTGTACAAAGCCCAGCTCCATAAAGACATGGATGACCAGTTTGGTGAAGACCCTTTTCTGTTCCCCCCATGACTGTCCCGTGTACAAAGCCAGCTCCATAAAGACATGGATGACCAGTTTGGTGAAGACCCTTTTCTGCCCCCCATGACTGTTCACTGTGTACAAAGCCAGCTCCATGAATGGACATGGTGAAGGACCCTTTTCTGTCCCCCATGACCAGTTGGTGGAAGACCCTTTTTCTGTCCCCCATGACTGTCCCCCGTGTACAAAGCCAGCTCCATAAAGACATGGATGACCAGTTTGGTGTGGAAGGAACTCCAGTGTCCTGTACAGAGACCTCAACCCTACTTTTGAAAGACCTTTGGTCATCTCACCCAACATCAGTCCCTGCCCTTCACACCTCGGAAATACTTTCGGTATGAGGTTTTCTCATCCCAAAAGTGTTCAGTAGGTTGGAGGTCATGGAGGAACTCGAGTGTCCTACACAGAGCCCTGACCTCAACCCTACTGAACACCTTTGGGATGAATTGGAACGTGGATGGTGATCTAGGTCTTCGCATCCATCAACATCAGTTCTGTCTTTGAAGGTTCATGCTTAAAACATTCCAGCAATAATGGGAAGTGGGTCATCCCAATCCAAACAGATACACCATGTGGCCCGGTGATGTGAACCCCCCTTCAAATGATGGAGTTCAGGTGTCTCCAGTGAAGGGTCCTCATACAAAGACATTGGAGACAATTGTGCCCTTTCAGCCTTGTGGTAACAGTTTGGTGAAGACCCTTTTCTGTTGCCCATGACCCTTCGCTGTGTACAAAGCCGGCTCCATAAAGACATGGATGGTCTGTTTGGTGTGGAGGAACTCCAGTGTCCTGTACAGAGCCCTGACCTCAACCCTACTTTTGAAAGACCTTCGGTCTTCTCACCCAACATCAGTCCCTGCCCTTCACCCTAGGAAATAATTTTGGTATGAAGTGTTCTCATCCCAAAAAATGTTCAGTAGGTTGGAGGTCATGAAGGAACTCGATTGTCCTTTACAGAGCCCTGACCTCAACCCTACTGAACATTTTTGGGATGAATTGGAACTGGGATGGTGATCTAGGTCTTCTCATCCAACATCAGTTCTGTCTTTGAAGGTACTTTTGGAAGAACTTTGGTATAAGATCTTCTCATCCAACATCAGTACCTGACCTCACAAATACAGTTGCAAGAAAAAGTATGTGAACCCCTTGGGATTCCGTGGAGTTTTGCATGAATTGGGCATAAAATGTGCTCTGAACGTCATCTAAGTCACAACAATAGAAGAACACAGTCTGCTGAACATAATACTACACAAACATTAGATGTTGCCATGGTTTAATTGCACATAACATGTAAACATTCACAGCGCAGGGAGGAAAAAGTATGTGAGGCCCTAGCTTAATGACTTCTCCCAGAGCTAATTGGAGCCAGGAGTGAGCCAACCTTGACTCCAATCAGTGTGATGATATTGGATGTGTTGCTGACAGCTGTTTTTGGGTTTTTTCTGGTTTCAAGAAGCACTGTCTGATGTGAACCATGCCTCGCAGAAAAGAGCTCTCAGAAGACCTACGATCAAGAATTGTTGACTTGCATGAAGCTGGAAAGGGTTACAAAAGTATCTCCTTGAGCCTTGATGTTTCCTGTGTCCACGGTAAGACAGACTGTCTACAAATGGAGAAAGTTTAGCACTGTTGCTACTCTCCCTAGGCGTGGTCGTCCTGTAACAATGACTGCAAGAGCACAGCACAGAATGCTGCATGAGGTAAAGAAGAATCCCAGAGTGTCAGCTAAAGACCTACAGAAATCTCTGGCACATGCTAACATTTTTTTTGTTGACACATCTACAATAAGGAAAACATGAAACAAGAATGGAGTACATGGGAGGACACCACGGAGGAAGCCATTGCTGGCCAAAAGAAGATCGCAGCACGTTTGAAGTTTGCAAAAGAGCACCTGGATGTTCCACAGCACTACTGGCAGAATATACTGTGGACAGATGACACCAAGATTGAGTTGTTTGGGAAGAACACACAACACTGTGTGGAGGAAAAAAGGCCCAGCACACCAACATCAAAACCCTCATCCCCACTGTGAAACATGGCGGAGGGAGCATCATGGTTTGGGGCTGCTTTGCTGCCTCAGGGCTGGACGGATTGTTGTCATTGATGGGAAAATGAATTCCAGAGTTTATCAAGACATTTTGCAGGAAAACGTACGACCATCTGTCCGCCAACTGAAGCTCCGCAGAGGATGGGTGATGCAACAGGACAATGATGACCCAAACCAGCATACAAGTCATTCAACAAAACAATGGCTGCAACAGCACAGAATACGCCTTCTGGAGTGGCCCAGTCAGAGTCCTGACCTCAACCCCATTGAAATGCTGTGGCATGACCTTAAGAGAGCGATTCACACCAGACATCCCAAGAATATTGCTACACTGAAACAGTTTTGTGAAGAGGAGTGGTCCAAAATGACTCCAGATCGTTGTGCAGGTCTGATCTGCAACTACAGGAAACGTTTGGTTGGGGTTATTGCTGCCAAAGGAGGGTCAACCAGTTATTATGTCCAAAGGTTCACATACTTTTTCCTCCCTGCACTGTGAATGTTTACATGTTATGTGCAATGAAACCATGGCAACATCTAATGTTTGTGTAGTATTATGTTCAGCAGACTGTGTGCTTCTATTGTTGTGACTTAGATGACGTTCAGAGCCTACATTTTATGCCCAACTCATGCAAAACTCCACGTAATCCCAAGGGGTTCACATACTTTTTCTTGCAACTCAAATTCCCACAGACACCCTCCAAAATCTCGTGGGAAGTCTTCCTAGAAGACTGGAGGAGTATAGTATAGGGGGGGAGACTCCGTATTATTGGCCATGATTTTGGAATGGGATGTCCAACGAGCTCATAGAGATATGAAGGTCTGGGGTCCAAAGTCTTTCAGCAATATAGCGAACTAGGCAAATACAATGGACGGACGAGACTCTTCCGGTGACAGCTTAGAGGAGATGTCTCACTTTGGAGAGACCACCTCTCACTTTCTGTTGTGTCTCTGGGAAAGGAGGTGAAGGGATAATTTTCTGAGAGTCGTTCCAACCATTCCCTGATCTATCCAAAATTTTAAAAATGTTTTGGTCCAGCAGGCTTTCTTAGAGAGAAAACAGTGTACTGAAGATGAACATCCAGTCCCTAGGCTCCTCCACCTTCTCCAGGTCTTCTCTACCTTCTCCAGACATGAAGATTCCAGGTACCTTCCTGACAACAGTACCCAAGGAGGTCTGAATATTATTTCGGGGGCAGTCTAGAATCCAAGGCAGTTCTGTGTCCAAACTCAAGAAAGTGGGGGTTGGGGAAGAGTTCATAGGGTTCGACAATCCCTTGCTCTACCATAGAGCTGAGTAGCGTACTGGATTGGTTCAAACATGCAACACGAACTGTATGCAGTGAGTCCAGCTTCAGTAAATAGGAATTGGATTCCCCCTACAGGGCCTCCTAATGCGACCTCAGCCAATGTCACCTGGCATCATCCTACGCCCTCTCCTGTGACCCGCTCTACACCTGATGGCCCATGGACACGAGTTCCTGATGAAAGCTATACACTATATTCCCATGACCCTGATGACCTCCTTTTACGTTTTCATGAAGGGGGGACTTTCAAACTTTATGGACCAAAAATCGGTTCGCAACATTTTCCTTCTGGTGCAGGTTGGAATTCTGTCTCTAAGAGTCGAAACCCTGACCACCCCACCACTCACTCTCTGGAGAGTCGTGTAGGAGAGACCACCACCAAACCTCTGTACTGCCTGGTGAAGAGACCACCACTACGTTCCCTTTGAAGACACGTGCCTAGACACTGATCTTCAGAGTCATGGTCTCTCCTTGACTTATGATTGCTCCCCTGCTAACTACTCTTCACCTTGATGGAAATTCGGCTGGTCAGAAGAGACTGGCCAATCTTCGATCAGAGTGTGAGCCTCTCTACTCAACAGATGATGATTCTTTCAGTGACTTCTGTCGAAGGGACATGGAAAATTTCACTGATATGTGGCTGGAGCTGACCAGGTGCCACTGTCAGAGTACAATGTGCCTGTGAGGAAGATTCCTCCATCCACCTGGTCTCTGTGGTCGGAGAGCGCTGAGGTCCTCCTCTATAGAAATGTGAAGGGATGAGCTCTGCTTGGTGGACCTTCACACATTCCAATGTCTTTTCCTCTGTTTTTAATCCGCAGCCCTCCAGATGCCCCAATCATTGTCAGCACTAATTGTCCTCTCCCCACAGTGTCAGCCCAGCAGTGGTCCAGAAGGTGGGTGAGATATGTCAGGAAAGGCAAGACCCCCGCGGAAAACCAGCAGCGTCAGGATGGTCTTACAGGTGAGCCTGCTTTTTGTGGGCATTTATTGGCCAACGCCCCGCCCTGAGAACAGTCAATGTTGGACGTCTTTCATTTCTATCTGTGTTCTTGCAGGACTGTGAAGACTCTTCCCCGCCCTCCATAGTCCGAGTCACCATCCCCAAAGTGCCCCTGACCAAGAAGAGGTAAGTCTCCCAGGTCCACCACACGAAACTGAACGTCACATGACGGCTGGATGTATAAACCCAGAAAGGGGGACCAGAATGGATAGAAACCCCTAAAAGCCGATGTTTGGAGATGATGGAGGCCAAGTTCTCAGCAACCAGCCATGTGCATGATCTTCTCCTCTGTTTTTCAGCAAACAAAGAGAACCGCTGGCGCTGATCCGAAGAAAGCTCCTCACCAGGAGCCAGGTAATCCAACCTCCCGTATTATGGGGCATGAACTTCTGGACCAGGGGTCTCCAAACTATGGCCCACGAGCTGTTGAGGAACTACAAGTCCCATAATGCCTCCTGGAAGTCTTGCCTGTGGCTGCCAGAGTCTTGTAATACCTCATGGGACTTGTAGTTCCTCAACACCTGGAGGGCCATAATTTGGAGACCCCTCATCTAGACTATTCATCTCATAAAGTGAACTGCTATAGTCCAGATACCCCCTAAATATATAGAGCCATTTATCCAACCGTCCATCCAGAGCCTCTGGTTTATAGACCGGATACGTCCTAAAAATAGAGCCATTTATCCAACTGTCCATCCAGAGCCTAGAGCCATTTATCCAACTGTACATCCAGAGCCTCTGGGCTATAGACCGGATACGTCCTAAATATAGAGCCATTTATCCAACTGTACACCCAGAGCCTCTGGTTTATAGACCGGATACGTCCTAAATATAGAGCCATTTATCCAACCGTCCATCCAGATCCTCTCACTCTGGTTTATAGACCGGATACCTCCTAAATATAGAGCCATTTATCCAACCTTCCATCCAGAGTCTCTGGTTTATAGACCGGATACTATCCTAAATATAGAGCCATTTATCCAACTGTACACCCAGAGCCTCTGGTTTATAGACCGGATACGTCCTAAATATAGAGCCATTTATCCAACTGTCCATCCAGAGCCTCTGGTTTATAGACCGGATACATCCTAAATATAGAGCCATTTATCCAACTGTCCATCCAGAGCCTCTGGTTTATAGACCGGATATATCCTAAATATAGAGCCATTTATCCAAACCGTCCATCCAGAGCCATTTATCCTCTCTCTGGTTTATAGACCGGATACATCCTAAATATAGAGCCATTTATCCAACCTTCCATCCAGAGCCTCTGGTTTATAGACCGGATACGTCCTAAATATAGAGCCATTTATCCAACTGTACACCCAGAGCCTCTGGTTTATAGACCGGATACGTCCTAAATATAGAGCCATTTATCCAACTGTACACCCAGTCTGGTTTATAGACCGGATACATCCTAGAGCCAACTGTCTCCAACCGTCCATCCAGAGCCTCTGGTTTATAGACCGGATACCTCCTAAATATAGAGCCATTTATCCAACTGTACATCCAGAGCCTCTGGTTTATAGACCGTGTTCGCCCCATACATAGAACCATTGGTGGTCATGAAGAAGGTGACAACAGGTAAACACTTCTGCTGTAGACCATCTATGAGTGGACGTGATCTCCGTTCTTCTGTCTGAAGTCTTCTTCCATTGCAGGAAGTCCAGGAGATAAAGATCCTTGGCTATGGAGAGGACCATCTCTCGGTGCAGGACAGCCCCCTCATGACTCATCTCTCGATGAAGAACGACCCCCTCATGACTCATCTCTCGATAAGAGAACGACCCCCCCATGACTCATCTCTCGATGAAGAACGACCCCCTCATGACTCATCTCTCGATGAAGAACGAGCTCCTCCAGGAAGATGAACTCTGCACCAGATTTCAGAAGAACGAGGTGGCCACCCAGACCGCCCCCCCGTCTCCTATTGCTTCAACACCATCGAAGAGATTGTTGAGTTCCTGAACAGCTGCAGCAAAGCTGAGGAGTGCAGCCCCAAGTCTCTGTCCTTCACCGACGAGCCCCCCGACGAGCCAGGAGGAGAAGATGCCATGTCCAACGACGACCACCTGAGAACACTCAAACTAGAAATAGAAGAAGACGACGAAGACCAACCGATCATTTCTCATCTGTACCCCAACCTGCCCTTCCACTATGCCTCCACGTCTTCTCCATCGTTCCCTGTGGTCAAGCGTAGAAGAAAACAACGTTTCCACTGCGAGTGGCAGGGCCCGGTCACCGTCATCAGCTCCCCCAATGTGCCGGCTCATGCCATGGAGCTGAGGGTGGACGAGGATCTTGCCATGTCCATACGGAGACAAGTGGACATCAACAATCCGGGGCCCTTCGGCTGGCAGCTGGCCAAGCTACTGTTCACCGAGGAGGAACTTTACGGACACAACTTCAACGGTACGGACCAGAAGATGCCCCTCAGCCCCCGGCGGGTCCACGCCATCCAACACGCCTTTCATGACTACTTCCCTAGAGACATAGCAGACGAGGCGCTGGCCAAGGGCCGCACCGCCATTAACCAAGGGATAAGGAACATGTTCTATGTCCGCAACCGGAAGGATGGAGACTATCCGTGACTGGAGCTCAGCACGGGGCCCGAGGGACCCAGAAAGACGAGGGACCCCAGAGCCGAGATCTGATCTCAGATTGGATGGTGATAATTTGGTCTCCGCGATGACCTAAACCTGTGACTTGTGGGAGAGAGCAACTGTGCCATCCAACACCTCACATCTCCATGACAACCACCAAACTCCGTCTTTATGACAGACTCCACAGTGAACCCATCACTTCTGTTCCACCCCCACCGCCCTATCATCCCCCTCCCACCACCCTCCTCTCCATCTCAATCCATGACCATACCTTCACGCCGTTCTCCTCCATCACCCACCACCTCCTCTCCATCCTTCATCTCATTCCATGACCATACCTTCACGCCGTTCTCCTCCATCACCCACCACCTCCTCTCATCTCATTCCATGACCATACCTTCACGCCGTTCTCCTCCATCATCCCCCTCCCACCACCCTCCTCTCCATCTCATCCATGACCATACCTTCACGCCGTTCTCCTCCATCACCCACCCACCTCCTCTCCATCCTTCATCTCATTCCATGACCATACCTTCACGCCGTTCTCCTCCATCACCCACCACCTCCTCTCCATCCTTCATCTCATTCCATGACCATACCTTCACGCCGTTCTCCTCCATCACCCACCACCTCCTCTCCATCTTCATCTCATTCCATGACCATACCTTCACGCCGTTCTCCTCCTATCACCCTCCTCCCACCACCTCCTCCATCCTTCATCTCATTCCATGACCATACCTTCACGCCGTTCTCCTCCATCACCCACCACCTCCTCTCCATCCTTCATCTCATTCCATGACCATACCTTCACGCCATTCTCCTCCTATCACCCTCCTCCCACCTCCTCCTCTCCAGCCTTCATCTCATTCCATGACCATACCTTCACGCCGTTCTCCTCCATCACCCACCACCTCCTCTCCATCCTTCATCTCATTCCATGACCATACCTTCACGCCATTCTCCTCCTATCACCCTCCTCCCACCTCCTCCTCTCCAGCCTTCATCTCATTCTATGACCATACCTTCACGCCGTTCTCCTCTATCACCCACCACCTCCTCTCCATCCTTCATCTCATTCCATGACCATACCTTCACGCCATTCTCCTCCTATCACCCTCCTCCCACCTCCTCCTCTCCAGCCTTCATCTCATTCTATGACCATACCTTCACGCCGTTCTCCTCTATCACCCACCACCTCCTCTCCATCCTTCATCTCATTCCATGACCATACCTTCACACCGTTCTCCTCCATCACCCACCACCTCCTCTCCATCCT